TTATTCGATATATCAAAGAACACATTTTTTTTCAAGTTGAAGTCCGTTGTTTAATCCCTGAAACAATCAGCCGATGAGCTAATGGGCCGGCAAAATATGTTTTCCAGACCCGAAATTATGTCCCACTCCGCCCCTGCAAGTGATAAATCCAATCCTTGACTTACGGTTGCCCATCTAGGTCAAATTATTTCACAAACCTATATAGATACACTGATGCTGATTTGTCTGTGAGCTAAGGTAGGTACCTACACTAAAACTAATATAAACTCAAACCAAGATACAGCTTTATAGCGTATAATATACTTTATAGAATTTGTCACGAAAATAAACTGCTCACGGGCGATGTGGGGATATTTGGATAGTATTTCAGATACGTAGGTTAATAGGTAAGTATTTATAAGTTATATAAAATTGTATTACTATGAATTACTTAATATCAAAATTTCGTCAGTTTACCTACGTCATGTCAGTTATAGATGTTGCATTTCACACAAACATATGATGAACACCTTACAAACCTCCTACATATTTTTCAAACTTTATTAGTTAGGCTCACAATATAATTAATAACTGTATTATACAAATAACTGATGTCCGTATGCATAATCAATTTGCGTGTCACATAAGACATAGTTTAACATGTCTTATGTGACACATACATTGACATGCATACGGACATGAGTCACACATTTTAGTTATAATTAATAACACATGGTACACCATCGTGTTTATCTTTAAAACTTTGTCTATATTATTAATAATGAATATGTTTTCCGAGTAATTGATTACTTTTAATGGTAAAGCCTTTATAGTTGAAAGGTCATCGTATTACACCTAAAACAAAAAAAAGGTCTAAAATGAGTACCAAATTTTAATATTTAGGAAATGTGTTCGGTTTCTGCATTTATTATTTACTGAGGACTGCTATAGCGACAAAAAACCCATTCGTTGTTAATATTAATTTTATTTTTTGTACTTCCGTATTATTCTGTTTTAAATATTAAAATATAATATTGTAATCACTACATTTATAAACTTTAACTTTTATACACTATATTTAAATATACTACAATATGTTATCGTTGTAAAATAATTAAGAGACCATTGCTATTATTAGCATAGTATATAAATTGTTTTATTTAAATACATTGAATAATTTTCTTCAAAATATAGGTACCTACTACCTACTTACATTTTGGAAATAAAATTCAATATAAAAAATATATCTATAACTAATATTCAATTTATAGTACATGATTAAACTTTATTACGAGTTGATTTGTGCACAATGGACGTTTTCCTCGGTAATAATTCTTTAGTATTCCATTGAGTGTACTTGTAAATACTTTTTCATCAGGTTCCCATGTTATTTTGCTTCGTGAATAAATAATGATAAGTAAATAACTCATAGCTCGTAAATTACTTCACATTCCAATATATAAGTCTCTGCATTGTATGTTGTTTTAATAATGTACCTTACATGTTTATGTTCATATTTTTCGTAAAAATTTTGTTATTCTTGATTTAGCGATGCAATAAAATAAATAATTTTGGCAATAATAATACTAAATAAAAGTTTGAAATTGATTAAAACCGTTTAATTTAATCCAGAAACTCAATAGTTTTCAAAAGGTTCCTCTGAAACATTTGATATAAATAAATATTATATTTGTTTAAAAAACAATACAATAGACTATTCGAAGTCTTTTCATCAATGTTTATCCTTAAACTATATTATAAAATGCTTAAACCCCCCATAAAGCTTTTATAAATAAAATAACCTTAACGCAGTGGAAAAACTATATCTTAATACCCAAGGAGAGTCGAGAATAGACATTGAAACACTACAGTGTAATCTAGAACAAGGTTGGACTGCAAAGTTCGGTAGGTACGATATTTTTACGGCCAATTTGACACCAAATAACAATCATTTACCATTCGTATATAGGTATAAAGTCAATATCAAATACGTAATCAGTAACACCGCCATATTGACACTCTAATACATCATATTGTGCTCGAAATGTGTGAGCATTAATTTTATAGATGATTCTTTAACCCAGCATTCACTGTCATACCCAGGGATTCGACAGCAAATATAAATACACATACACACATATATAAACATATTGAGTCTGGGGTATCACTAATGTTGTTCCACCTATACTGTTCTACGACAAATTACATTTATTTTTTAATGTGTTTTTTTTTGTCTTTAGTTATGTACCTATATATCTCAACTAATCGTCCTAATAATAATATTATCCGTATTATAATAATACCAAGCGATAAAATAGTTTTAATTTGTTTCAAAAAAAACTACACTCAGATGAAACAGAACACTGCTAATTGAAACCTATAAATATAATTCACTGTACACCTATGTTTATTTTATAAATAGGTATATTTTTTAATAAATACACATACCTAACTATATTCTATTATGGTTTATAGATGCATCAATAAAATAACTTAAAACCCCTTTAAGGCAGACGAGCAAAGCATAAATAAAACCAAGATCTAATTTATGTAATAATTTAAATACCTATGTTGTAGAGTGTTGTTAAAAAGAAGGTGCTTATTACATAATTAAATGTAAATTTTTTTAGGTTTTAAAAATAGAGTAAGCATTAGTTTAATTTAAAAATAAATACTATAAAATTATATTATATAAGTGGTAGGCAGTAAGCTAGATAGTACCTATAGATTTAAATAGTAATCTTAATAAACTTCAGCAGCAAAATATTTAAGAAATATGAGAAAACCATATTCGTTGTAGATTCATAATTGTATAGTTAATTAAAACCTAATTAATAATGACTAGTGATGCAGAAATTATAATTATTTTTTTTTTAAATTGACTCCTCGCTTATTCAACCAAATAACAACTAACGATGGTAAACACTATTTGATATTATTTAAAATTAACGATAAATTAACATCATTATTTGAATTATTGTTATTTGCTTTAGATAAAATTGAGGAACTTTTTTTTGAACTTACAAAAAGTTCATAAAAGTTCTCTAAAAATAATTAAATATTTATGATTATCTACAATCCAACTGATTCTCTAATTAAATAAAAAGACCATTTTTAAAAAAAAACTTCAAACAACCACTAAATCTCAAAATTCCATATACTAAATCATTTGAAACGTATATTAAACGTATGTGATAAATATTTATACGATGTCTTAGTTATCTAGTTATACATAACATTAAACAATGATACAAAATATAAAGAATAAGAACTACTAAAACATTTAAATCATTATATTATATTATATTATATTATATTATATTATATTATATTATACTTCATCAATAAATAATAATAATCGAGTACCTAACCTATATCGCTTTTACTGTGATGTTTGATAAGAATATTTATATCGCTATAGCTGTTTATCCATACCATGAATTTTATTATATAGATAAAACAGTTGCGATGGATTTGTACTCACTTTGTAATAATGACTTGACTTTTTATTTTTATCAGGACATTAACCAAAAACACGGAAAGGGTATAAATTATTATTGTTTTCCTGATATAGGTCGAGGGGTATTGCATATTTGCATTCGATATGACATTATGTACATCGTATATAAATAGATGTATTAAGCATAGTACCTATGTCTTAACTTTGGTTTTGCGTGCGCATGCTAGAACTTTCTCTCTAAATTGTGCACGCATTTTATAAACTCTGTTGGAGGGGGTTTATTTTTTTAAATAAATACACCTCCCTTTCAGCCGTGCTGACATATTTTATCGAGTACTTACACAGTTACCTATATGATATTGTACTGCACATAACACAAATTATGTTATTAGGACCACAATACTATTTGGGAATATAATTTCTAGTGAAATACTGTAATATTGTTATTATTTTTTATCGTCAATGGACATCGATTTAAAGCGTTACATATATTTAACATTATATACATTAATCCAGATAGGTATAAATAATTATTAGTTTCTTGTTTCTTGCCAACTTTAAAAGTATAAACTACAATAAAAATACTCAGAATAATTAAAATAAAACTTGGATATAATTGTTTCAAAATAATAAAATACCTATATAACAATAAATTGTATAGTATTTCGTTTTGGCGAAATAAAAAAAATATATATTATAATATTCTTATCTTGGTATTTGTGTTTACTCGAGTAGAAACAAAAATGTACTGAAAGTCAATTATACAGGTATAAATCTCTTTTTTACAAACATTTTTCGTTTAATTGAGAAAATTATTATTTCACGTTTTATAACGATGTACGAATATCTACTCGGGGCAAACATTTACAATGAAACCTCATAATCAATATTTTGATAAAGAATTTCAACTTTTTAACATTTAGCGGTCACCTACCTGTATTTATGAATTATAGTGATGTTATAATGTTATAACTATAATATTAGTATAGTGTTTGTATAGTGAAAACGATTTTTAATTTTAATATGTTTTGATAAATGTACAACAAAAATTAACTTGTTAATATCACAGAGATTTATTAGGGGTTTTTTTTATGGATAATTCGTATTTATATAATTTCTTATCTTTAACGGAGAATATTTTTTGGAAATGTTGATGTATAATATAGATACATTAAGATTATGGAATAGGTAGTTTATTATTATTAAAAAAAAAAAAATAATATTATCTCTTGCCATTTTGCCCATCTTTAGTAAGCCTTATAAAGTTAGAGCTTATAAATTATATAGGCTGTTGGATCAATGTCAGATCAAATTTATCAGAAAACTATAAAATAAAAAAAATATATAAGGTTGCCAATTGAGATAAAAAGAAAACCTAAAAAAAAAGTAAAAAGTAGATATTATATTTATTTTTTGGAAAAGCCTATAGTGTTATTTATTTTCTTCTATTTAATTGAAACTCTGACCGACAAATCATGACCCTGTATGCTATATTGTAAAATTGTTTATATAAGCTAATAATGACGTTTCAATATATTTGTGTATGCATTGGTCTCCGAAGAGACGCGGTTCAAAACAGACTCATCAAATCCACCGGAATCCGTTTGCAGTTTGCCGTGCCAAAAAGGCCAAGCTAAGCAGTATCTGGAGGGCGAAAAATGCTGCTGGCACTGTTTCAACTGCACACAATACCAGGCAAGACAATGTTTTTAATAAAGAAAAATAAACAATAACGCGATACCATTTCCATAACTCATTAGTCGATATATTTGAAAGCCATAGACGTAGCATTAGGCATACAAATAAATAAGAAATATTAGGCATAATGCTGCTTATTCATTTTTTTTATTCTTATAACATATCGTTTCAGTGTAAATCCCAGTATTTGGTACGTTTTTGTTTTGTTTTTTTTTTTTGTTTAAGCATCATGTGAGGATATCGTATTTTTTTAACTCTACGCCTACGTGAATAATTAAACATTTTAATTTAGTTTTTTATTTTAGATTTTTTTTTGTTTTAATATTCTACATAGGTTTTTCACGAAGCATATTACGTGTTTTTTTTTACTTCTATTGTTCGTAAAATAAATTGTATTGTTCTGAAACGAAATGTCGAACAGCAATTCAGCCACACATAATTATACTAGAGAGATATTGGACGATTATGTCTAATAATATTGGCGCTTGTCGAAGTAAATATTATATTTACCAGGCACCATTAAATATTGTATTTGACAAAATTAATACGAGAACAAAATATTTATAATTTATCTTTTCATTTTGATTTAATGTTTAAGTATTAGCCACGTGGTTATTATTTATAAGCTATCAATAGGGTTTACATTAAATCAACATTATGATATCAAGTTAAGCATTACATTTTTATTTTTATGTAGAAAATTATTCTTTTGACATCTGAAACCCAATTCAGCCGTTTTAATATTCATTCCGTTGCAATACATTTTGTTTAAATTAACTGTTATTTTTTTTATTATATTCAACCTCTAAGTATAATTTATATATTTTTATACCTAATACTTTTGAATTTACGAATGCGTCACTTTCACTTTTGTGTAGGTACCTTCTTCACTAAGGTGCTGAAAATATAATCCAATTTATTATCATAAATTTATTGTTATCGATTCGTAGTAACCGGAAATAATGATTGCAAATATTATACAGCCATGCTGAAAAGCACTGTAATATTAATTATTATTATAGTATATTATTATGATTGTATTTTGTTATTTTCTATTATATTTTATCACTGTTTATTTTATCGTTCAAAATTATAAACTAACATATCAGAATCAATTGTTTATATGATTGTACTGTGTTATTGTCAAATAATTACTATTTTGACGAAAATCGATAAAAATTAAAAACTAAAACGCAAAATAAATTATGACAAAAATCGTATTGAACTATTTCAAACGATGTGTGAATACATAGACCTTCAAAAATTTTAATCTTTTGCGACATGTTTACCTCATTAATTGAAATGTTGAAAAACTTAAAATATATCAACTGTAATAATTACATCTCGAACGTTTGGTAATTTTGCAAACCGCCTGTAATGAATTTAATAATTTTCAGTTCAGTAACGAGAATCCAAAGTGTGTTGTTGATTTCGAAACTAAACTTCTGCATGGCAGAATTTAATTATTTACATGCGTATGACTCCGCAGTAGTAGACATCAGTTTACAAACGTTTAGTATGAAATATTACACTAAATCAATTAAATAAAGGAATATTGTAGCTGAAAAATATTTATTATTATAATATTCTAGTACACTCACATTTAATTTAAATTACCATTTGTTCTAAACTCTAAAGTCTAAGGTGACTAGGTGAGTAAGTGTATATAGGTTGGTAAGAGGTTGATTTAGAAACATTTTAAACATTATGTAAATAATATTCGTTTATAGATATGATGAGACGAGTCACGAAATAACAATATATGTATCTAGATGAAAGATAATAGAAGAATATAATAATAACACAATCTTATTTTTATATCATAATATAATATATAATTTATAGTAAAACATAAATACGTAGAAAATATAAATGTTTTGATACTCGTACTTCAAAATCATAATCATATTATATTTTCTTTTAATAGTAGCTGCAAAATTATTTATTTGTTCATATTTTTGTACTATGGTACTCAATATATTCGTAATACTCTTATAGTCCTATATGGTCCATGGATGTCACGGAAAAATGTAATTATTCGATTTTTTAATCGTGAACATTTGTAATTGTAAACAATACGACGACTCGTTTAGGTAGGCATATTTTGTTTACCAAAGGCACGAACATAGGCACTATGATATCAACATATTTTGTCTACTAATTGTCTATTTGCGCCCTCTTGTTGGAAAACATAAAAAAAACACTTATAAAATATATATTACTAAATTATCTCTAAATGAAAAACCTAATATTTCATTCCAAATTTTTTCATTGTTGGTACTGAATAAGAGTGTAAACAAATTAGACAAATTTGACTACCTAATTAAAATTTATAAAGATGACAAAGCTATTTGAATTTTGAACTTCACAAGTATTAATTTTATTTTTATTTTATTAATTTTGACTGTTAAATATACAGTCAACTCGCGATATAACGAACTTCAAGGGACCGAGAAAAAAATTCGTTACATCGAAATTATATTATACCGCGAAATTTTCAAGGGACCGGTAGTTTTATTCGTTATATCAAGATTTTCGTTATATCGATATTCGTTATATCGCGAGTTGACTGTATAAAAATTAAAAGGAATAAAATACTTTTAAAATGTATGGATTTATTCTTATTATTTTAAAATTTGGTCATGTTTTTTTTACATAATGCATATTTTGAGTGTATAATTTAAAAATGTTAATGCATATAAATGCATATTTTTGAACTTTTAAGTGCATATTTTAATGCATATTTTGACAATTTTTAGTGCATGAATGCATGCTAATTTATGCATTTTTTAGTGCATGAAGTTACGAGCCCTGGTTATAACGTACCTACTAAGTCTGGTACGATTGTTTCAATTAAATAGGTAACGGCGAACGATTTAGTTGGACTTTGAATTCTACCCGATCGTTTTACCTATCTAGGCACATTGAAACCATATCATGATAATAACTTACTTTCCAGATCCGTTCACCCACCGACGAGACCAGATGCGAAGTTTGTCCCGGAGGCACGTTACCCGATAGTAGCCGTCAACGGTGTTTGGAAATACCGGAAGCATTTTTAAGGGCCGGAAGCAGTTGGGCCATTGGGGCGATGGCACTGTCAGTGGCAGGTATTGCCATCACTTTGCTAGTGGTTTCCGTGTTTATCAAACACAATCATACACCGATTGTGAAGGCCGCCGGCAGGGAAGTTTCGTACGTACTTTTGTCTGGCATACTGCTGTGCTATCTCATAACGTTCGTGCTAGTGCTCAAACCCACTGACATCGTATGCGCCGTACAAAGGTAAGTCCAAAATCATTAATATCGAGCATTTAAATCATTTGCTTCTACCGATATTTCTATAATCTATATCGTAGGCTATCGATACAATATAAAAATAACAAATACTTGTATGCTGACTACATGAGGTATAGGCACAATACAAAAACTCAACATTTATAATAACAAAATATTGTATAATAAAATATAAAGACATATTTTAATAGAAGATGGATTGAGAAAAAGATGTTTAGTAAAATTTATAATATTATTTAGATGGGTAAATACTAGAATACGCAAAACTCACTTAAAATTAATATTAAATAATTTAAGTCGAAGTCTAGTTCCGTTAACTTGCGTTGACTGAATCGGTAATTTTTTTTTTTATGTAAAAATGTGTTGATCCATTTTTTGTTTGAGTTCAAATAATATGGCAATAGAATATTAAACAGAATATTTAATACAATATCGTAATTCAACGAAAAAAATATTGAGAACTCATATTATAGTTGGGGTGATTGTAAAAAAATTGAACGGAACAAAATAGGCGCATCTTTATATTATTGCTGTAGGAAATTTAAATTAAGTGTATAAAGGTTACTCATTATAAAATATAATAGAAATTAACAACAATTAACGCTGTTGTTATTTAATTTAAAATTCCCACGATTAAAAATATATTATAACTGAAATGTGCTTTTTTAATGTGCTAAACACGTTGACCGCCATGAGTTCATATAATATGAGATCACATCAAACTTTGTCCTGACCGCCACGGGGTTTATTCCACGATGTCTCTATATCGTGGTTTCTTCATACATTTATATAAACACAGTTTTTTCAATTTAAAGAAATATTGATTAGAAAAAAACTAATAAAGATATTTGCTTGAAACACCTACTGAAGGTGGCAACACTGTATATTTTAAAACCAACGAGAAAATACTGATTATTGAGATCTAGAACGAGATCTCGCTGGAATCGTTTTCAGTAAGATTTCAGATGAGATATCAAAATCCAAGTTAAGTAATTTTTTTGAGATTTAGAATACGATCTCGTAGCAAATTTAAGTCACATAGTGAAAAACCCCTTGGTGGTTATTATTCGTAGGTACCTAATGTAATCAATTAGAAGTATGAACTGTTAGTGAATATCAATCGATTTATCAAGAACTTTTTGAAATGCTAGAAATACTTAAATAAAATCAAAAATAAAAGTAATACCTCTTATCTAATTTCCAATTACACTGACAGTACGAAATTGTTTTTGTATTATTTACACCACTGACTTTAAACGAAAAATGTACAAGGTAAATACTTCAAAATTAAAGTTAAACATACAATGAATCAACCTTTCATAAACTTTTTTGATTTAAGCTCTATTATTAAAACATCATATCTACAAAGCTACGGAACACAGTTAAAATATAACTTATTATATTAGGTATTTATTTTAAAGTTTTAGATTTTATCTAGTGTATCTTATATAACTATATCTTCGTTGTTGTTACATAATGGTATATTTACGAGAAAAAAAGTGGTTTAAGAACATTCTAAACTATTTGAAAAACTATTTTTTTTTTTTTTATATATATCAGCAAGGCATACAAGATTTTTTTAACAGGTAGTATGACTATAAATGAAGTGTTTTTTTTTGTATAAATTATATAAAATCATTATACAATTTACATATATATGAAAAACAATTCTAATCGAAGACAGTTAGCCAAAATGTATAAGTAGGTATATGTTATGAATGTTATGATATTGCTATTAAAGTAATTTCGTTTCCTATTAATGAATCCTATTTATCATATTAATATTACAATATGTTAAATTAATATTTGACTAAAACATTGCATTTAAAATATTATTATAATTTACTTTAAAAGTTTAAAATACCAACGACTAATAATTTTAAACTATAACAAAAATCGTTATTCATTGCTCAAATATCTAATTCCTTCCAAACTTAACTTAGATATCTATAAACAAAATTTTGCTTATATAATTTTTTGGTAACAGTATGAAATACTTTTTTAAAACCTTATAGTTATTAAAATTTAAAATTTAAAAAATGTATAAACATTCATCTCTCTGAATCTAAAGGTATACAATCAACAACAATCGTGGTTTGTCGGTAATTTGGGCAATTTAATTAAAATTCAGAAAAAATCAATTTTATACAGCCTTGAAATATCGACTGATTATTAATATAGATTAACATATTTAACAACAACGATCACGGTTTTTCAAAATAAGTTACAATGTTTTACCTTCAATTGCAACACAAGAACCTATTTTATTATTGAAACCAAAATTTAGTGATTTGTTGAGGCTACTAATATTATGAAGTCCTCTATAAATACCTATTACAATTTATTTTTTCAAATAGCTGGTAACAAATAATAATTTGAATTGATCATGTAGATACATTGTACATATTAATATATTATGTAGCTTTTTATACATCAAGGAGTATAACTAACTCAAATAATATTCATGGTTTACGAGCATGATAAAATGCAATACATGATATTTAAATTACCAACTGAAAATATTATGTAGTATATTTTAATGTTTAAATTATAAAAACACATTTTTCAAAAACAAATAGCCTTATATCCACAAACAAAATAGTATTTGTAATTTTATTTGCGATTATACTCAGTCATAAAAATGTACCTTACCGAAATATAACAGAGTATTTATTATTATGGGCATACTTCCTGAGGACTTCGTTGTGCTGTCCAATTATGCAATGATTAAATTTCTCTACTAAAATGTTGAAGCATTACATTACCTTGTTGAACGTCGTTGAGTTTTTCAATTCTAACCTGAATAATGATACATAATATTAAATGCCCAGTATTTCATGTTACTGTTCAATAAATAAAAACAAAATTTGTTTAAGTACGTAATTAATTTATGTTTACATTAGTTAATGTTATCTTAATCTAAAATGGTACTAACCCCTCCCCCTCATCTGTAAGCGTGACTGACTTCATATAATTTAAATCAATTTAATTTCTTGACAGTCAAAAAACAAACAACTGATAGAATTTAAAATTTTACAAAAATACATAACAATTATTGGGGTAATCAATCTGATTCCTGAATATGGTATGTAAAGTCAATGGGCGAGAAAATATGATTGATTACATCAGGTTATCCGGAGTTATGCTAGAATGTTAGATCATAATAATATATTATATTATTATGTTAAGGTGTGTATCCGCATTCGTAGAATTTTGTTATTCACCGGTGAATGATCCAACATATAGTTAGATACTTACCAAAATTCATAGTAAATGTTATTAAAAACCATCCTTACGCGGTCATACACCAGGGACGTTGTTGACATACCAAATAGAATTCCGTGAATGTTGATCGCACTTCAAGCTCAGTGTATACGATAATATATTATACCGTGATATCTTAAATTGTTGATATGTTGTAATGCTATTTGTGAAAACTATACTGCCTGGTGCTCATATAGCCTACCTATGTACTTTATTATCGGTTTTTACTTTTTTTTTCATTGTCTGCTCATAAATTTTGCCCGAGGGCGGCATCCGAGGCCTCCATTTGGTGACCGCTGTCTAGTGTGTGGCCCAAAAATTGGAAAAATTCAGTCAACACCATCAGATTTTCAGTTCTTTATTTTAGTTATAGCTCAACAGGAGATCTCATGTTATGTAAATTGGGGAGATATCGTGATTCTTTTATCAGCTTTTTCATTAAGTTTGGAATGTTTTTTCTTATTACCCGAAGTGAATTTCTAAAGTGATAAAGCCCTAGACGTTTAATTGATTATACGATTAGTTAAATATTCGGAACGATCTTTGAAAGCTTAGGTTTTTCGGATCATCATACTTAGTGCCGAAAAAGGACTTGTCAAAATAATGAAAATGCTGCCTCATACCAAATCACTTTCGAAAAGAAAAATGATTTCACTGTGACACGAATTGTGATACTTTAGTAGGTGCGATTTTAATTCTGTAAAAACCTTCCAATTGCTTATCATCTCTTCTAATAGGTACTTCATCGAAGTGTTTATTGAAATATTAACTTTCACCTTGGCTAGGCAGTATTGCACAAGTAAAAATGTTTAGAATATGGACATTTTGATTTGTCATACCAAAGTTTGAAGTACTTATTTTAAAAAACTACTCGATTACATTTTAGAAAATATTTCGAAAAGTCTTAATGCTTCTACAGAATTAAAATCGGATCAACCAAAGTCTCACAATTTTTGTTCAACGGAAGGTATAAAAACGATATCGTTTTAACTGACTAGAACCATGCTAAAATATTAAAATTAAATTTGATGATGGGATTAATATAAATACATTTTAACACAATTGTTAATGATATTTCTCAATTGTTTAAATTATAATCGCCATTATTAAAAAATTCAGCTTCACAAAATATATATGTAGTATTGATAATATATTATAATTTATCAATATACCAATTAACTAAAATAACGATACATGGATATTAACCTTTATCCGCTGAACATTTATACAAATAAACATTTAAATATTTTGATGCTATAATAATATTATTCATAATAATATGGAAAAAACAATTTTAGCTCAACTCAAAATAAAAACCTGTATTTTATATAAACATTCATATTAAAAATATTAATTAATTCAACTTCTATCAAATCGTTTAATTTGTATTTTATCTTTCAATATAGAGTTTCTTTGAATTTTTACTTTTATTGTATATATTGAAATACTCTATACATAATATTATAAGCCTACATTGTATACACATTTCCTTGAAAAGTTTAAAAAACGATTATATAGGTTAAAAACCTAAAGGAACTATACAGAAAGATTTCCAGTTTGAAAATAAAAAACTTAACACATATCATTATGGTCTCCTAAATATGAGCTTAGATTTTTTTGAACTATAACTCATTAGCCAAATCATTAGTACAACTTTTATTGTTTGGAAATAAATTAGATGACTTTTGATTACATATCTCGTTAATAATAGTAAAAACGTACAGTTTTTAGATTGCTAAATTGCTTCAGTCTTCAGAAATAATTCTCAACGTATTTTATTCTTGTCACACATTCGATGTCTATATACAGCTGTGTCCATGGAACTTTTATCATAAATAATCCCGGTGAATAAAAATGACAATTTCATCATTTTGACAGTTTTAATTAAATATCACGGTATTTACGTCGGTTTTAATTTCAACTGTTAATTAGTTCTGTTCTAACCTTAAATTAGAATATGTACATAATATTTTAATTTGATTAAAAAACTTCGTGTTTCGTATATATATATATATGTTTGTGCTTTGTAGTCTTTAATGTTTCGGAACTGTTTCTTTAAAAATGCAATTTTATAATAAAATTATCTGAATATTTAAAACAGTATCTTACATTCATGTTACATAATGAATGATTTGTTTAAATTATCAAATTCTTTGTACAATAATAATTAGCATACTAACTTAGGTATAATATCTCAAAGCGAAGTGGTCAGATGATTTTAGTTGATCTACTAGAATTACATAATATAGGAGGTAATTAAATATCGGACATTTTTAGAACTTATTTGAATTTATATTCATTTGATGTTTAAATTTAATATCATCTGTGTAAACCTTTCTTTGCTAGCATTCAGTTATGACTTTTATTTTAAGTAAATTCAGCAGGACACAATTTGTGTGACAATATGTACCTCGTTGTAATTTATAAGTAAGACATTCAAAATTGTGAATTTATTAATTTGTCTGGAACTCTGGATCGTATTATATTTCAGATTTTTTATATGCGATGTGCTTTAAAGTTTAAAGGTTTCATATACACACATTTTAAATTTTGTAAATATAATAATTATTTGGTTTCTAAAGTTGACGTTTTCTTAAACCGTAAAAATAAAATATTCAAACAATTGATCGAACCAACGTAGGTACACGTTCATATAATATGATAGAATAACTATAAACGCCAAATGTCTATTTATTTATTCATGTAATTATGTTTCAGATTTGGTGTTGGATTCTGTTTCACTGTTGTGTATGCTGCATTATTAACGAAGACGAATCGCATATCACGCATATTCAACGCTGGACGGCGAACTGTCAAACGTCCCAATTTTATATCACCAAAATCACAACTGGTCATTTGCTCGGGACTCATATCGATACAAGTATGTTATTTTTGTGTACGTTATTGAAAAAGATATTTTTAATTTTTATGGTCACATAACGATATGATTATTTTAATATTCAATACATTTTAATATTATATGTTTTTATCATAAAATATTTCAATTGTATTACAATAAATTAAATTAATTTTATTTTGATAAAAACATATGACGGTAACACTTGATAGATATATTATCAACTATCAAGTACCTATATAAAATGGATAATATTTTATTTTTACATTGTAAGGAGCTTCTTTATATTCAATTACCACTCATTTTTGTTTAAAACAATAAACTATGTACTAATATTATTATTGGTTTCAAATCTGTTGTTTAAAACTAGTCTAGGCGTCTCAAACTACTAACTTACTCTCAAATTTCTTCAAACTACATTTTGTTGTTTCATATCCATATAACATAGTACATTGGTAGAGATTTAATTAATAGTAGAACACGTTCGACCAATGATTTATTGTCTGATCAACCTATACAAATTTAATTTTATATTAAGCTGTTGTTTAAAAACCTGTTTGAATAACGAAAAACAATAAATACGATTCATCAAATCATCAAATTTATTTAATTAAACATGTCTTTGAAATAAAACCTTGTATGCCTGGTTGATATTTTGGCTATAGCCCATTTGGCTCACGTTTACAAAAAGGTCAATTCCCAAACAGCTCCCGTTTTTGACAACACAAATTCCTTCTCACTTCATACAGACTTAGGACTGTCTCAAAAGAGGTGTGGTTAAATATTTGTTGGTGTTTTTTCAAATGTTATATTTTAATGTTAAATTATACAATTTTACCTTGTATAATAGTTCAGGCTAAATGTAAATTTTTTTTGCACACTTTTTTATATATTCCGTCTGAGATATTTCATTGGATGAACATTTTATTCATCATTGATGGCCCCAACGAATTCTTGTTTTTTTTTTTATTTACTGCTAGAATTATTGACATTTGACATGACTGAGAGCTTTTATTTGGGTCTCAGATTGTATTTCGGTCAGTATGTCAATAACTTGAGATGAGCAATATTGAATTCGCTGTTGAATTCACAATGGAATGGTTCACAGGTCATTTTTAGTCAAAGAATGGATGAACAATTCAGACCACATTTCTAGAAGGAACTATCTGTACCTATGTAAAGCTCTTGTTATTGTCACCGATTAGCCGCCAATGCTAGTTTAGCCCACCACACGCTCTATCGATTTTGGGTTTTAAATTTAGAATTTATGTGGTCGAATACCGGAACCTTTTGGGAACTTACGTGTTTGTGAAACCTTTTTTTGACCTGATCCGTTAGCGAATCATCAAACAATGGATGGGAGCCGTTTGGTACGTTTGCGTTGCACCGGATATTTTAACGTTTGTCTGTAAGAAACACCGAACACGTAGGTATATTATAATAATATCTTGTTGAATGAATCATATATATTTATATACATATTATACTAAAATAATAATATATTAATATAATATATATATTTATTATTTTGATCAAAACGTACTACACTCACATACTGTTTTTACTACATATTATACTATATTTTAAAAAGAAAGAGCAATGCTCACGTTTAGACTTTAGAATAAAAGACAGAATTCGAATCCTTATATGGTTCAAGTACGACGTATTTTTACGTTTCACAAATATATATATTATTATATTATATAATATATCACGCGCGTGTTGGCACACACTAATAGTGTCGAAAAAAAAACAAACATACAAACCAAACGCTCTGTAATAAGTTTTACATTTACAACAGCTGCGTGTCTATAATGTAATGTTACAAGAACATCGGTAACCTACCAATATACACACGTTTCGTATGGACGACCACGTTTCAGGTGCTCATCAACGGCGTATGGATGCTGGTCAGCCCTCCAAAGGTCATACACCATTACCCCAGCAGGGAGTCGAACATACTAGTCTGCTCGTCGTTCATCAACACATCGTACGTGATAGCGTTTGGATACCCAATAGTGTTGATTGTCGTGTGCACCGTGTACGCCGTGCTCACCAGAAACATCCCGGAAGCTTTCAACGAGTCCAAGCACATCGGTGAGTGATTATTTACTTGGCGTTTATATGGCTATAGGTCCCGGAAAATACGACGATCATGACTGCAATCTCTAGACATTGTCGTAAATTATATTCGAGCATATTATGTGCTACACATTGCAGATAATCCCCGGAAATTGCCATCAATTAACCTCGTGAAATTGACACTATTGATAAATTCAATATAGTTTCGGGAACTTATATCGACACCTATTATACTTATATTGACCTATTTGGTTATTTTTTCAAGTTGTTTGAATTCACTTGCTATCCTTATGTTAATTTCCACTTTATTCGTTTTTAATCAAGTATAAATGATGATTGGAATGAAAAGATCCCAATTTAAAAACTTCAAAAGTTTGCAGTAAATAGAAAAATAGTAAAAAATAATTTGTTACTCATAAATAATTAGTAGGTGGGTCATTAAGTTAGCTTTAATATTACAAGATATTAGTAAGATAGATCTGATACATTGGCCAATCGGTATAATTATTTGAATCTAGAAAAACGTTCACGTAAAGTGAAATAGATCTAGAAAGCCGGTAGGTGCTTATTAAAAAGATCTGACCAAGTAGATACAAAATGTGGAGTTTTAAAATTTTAAAAAAAATGAATTAATATTTTTAACTATTAAAATATAGTCAATTTTAGCTAGGTTTTTATTTAACACGTTTGGAAAAAATGCGTTCTGCTTCAGAATTTCCATTTCAAGCAGTGCCTATAAGCATTTTGATTTAATTGTAATAAAATATATGGGTACAAAACAAAATAAAAAGAAAGTTTATAATATTCTCCAAATATTAAAAAGGTGGGTAAGTGGATGTCGCTCTGCTGTACAGTAGGTTACAAGTGGGTCACTGTAAAATGGATGCTATTAAATTTGAATTCAATGATACAATATCATTGTATAAGAAAAACGATTCTGAGCGAAGACGGTATGTCAGTCTAGGTTTAAGACAAATTATATACATATCTATGGTATTAAAAAAAATTGACCTATAATAAATTCCAAATTAATCATATCACATTATCATAATATCCATTAGGTACTTATAACACGTTATACATCAACATCAATAACAAACCCTGATACTATCATAGATATATAATAGTACACTTTAGAAGTTTCAAGTAGGTACCCACGAATAATATTATATAATAACAACAAAATAACTAGGTTTTTTAATATGTAATTTCGTCCAAATTTGAACATAAAATGACTATAAAAATAAACTGTGATTGTATACTTTTTAGATTTTTCGGTAAGAGAATTAACTACTTACGTGGAATCTTGTTTTAAATTTTCAATCCTTAGCTATAAAAACTAAACATTTTATAATTTATTAATTACGATGATTAATAATTTTCGAGATTTTGAAAAATTCTGTCAAAATTCGATGTTTAAATGCTCATAAAAAAAAATTGTGCCTATGTATTTTTAATATTTTTCAACTGATATTGTAACAATATATCAGGAGCCTTGTATTAATTTTTTACACTTTTTGGCCCAACAGATAAAACTTTATTGATATTCATAGAAAAAAACTAAAAAAATTGAAAAATGAAAATATCCGTAAACAGCTCAAAATGAGTCAAATCTTTTTCAAAATTGTATGGTGTATAGAAAATGCTAATATAAACATTCAGTGAAATTTTCATGTATCTATAGTTATTCGTTTATGAATAACAACAAAATAAGGAAATCGCTACATGAGAAATCGAGTGAACATCCATTGTTGTACAAATTTAAATTTCAAACGCTCATAAAAATTTAATTTGACTGTCCGGTATAGATTTTTTTATTGATAATGGTAGACAAACTTATGAGTAATCTTGTATTACATTTTCAAATCTTAGATTTAAAAAGAAAAATTTTTACGAATTCTTAACTCAAAATAATTTTCTAATTTTCGTGATTTTTCCATATTTTGTCAATTTTTGAACTTTGAATGCTTATAAAAAAAACTGTGACTAACGATTTTTAATATTTTTCATCTGCCTTTGAAACAATATACTAGGAGCCTTCTATTAAATTTTCAAGTTTTTTTAACCAACAAATAAAATTTTATTGATATTTCTAGAAAAAAAACTAAAAAAAAAATGAAAAATGAAAATGTCCCTAAACAGTTCAAAATAAATCAAAATATTTTTAAAATGTTATCGTGTATAGAAAATGCAAATATAAACAACCAGTGAAAATTTCATGTATCTACGGTCATTTGTTTTAAAGTTACACCAAAAACCAAATTCAATTTTCTGAAAAATCAATTTTGCGTAAAAATTCCCGTTTTTCCTTAATTTTTCTTTTGTTTTTCTTGGTGTTTTTGAAAAGTACTGGGAATTTTAAATGTTGACCTTCCCAATGCACCAACGATATTCACTTTCCAATCGAACAAGATACTGAAGTCGAAAATCGAAGCATTATTTCGACTACTTATCTTGCTGTACACAGACACAAAAAAAATTAAAAAATTAAAAAATAAAAATAAAAACACACATCATTGTAAAATCAATACATTCATCGTTTCACTCAGAATCTAAAATCAAGGAAGTGTATATGACATGGCAAGCATTATTATTTTAAACAAATCAAATAATTTTTAAATAAATTATACTAATTTCTTAATATCAGTTTGATTCTCTTAATACATTTTTGATTAAAAATGTCAAGTAATTTTCGGTTAATCGTATATGTTTTGCTATTGAACTATGCAATTCACATTATTTACTGGGGATTGATGTAAGATAAATGTATGTATTTGTATTTAATTTTAATTATTTACCTTTGTTTTTGAAATGTATAATAACAATTAGTGACTTGCGACAATAACCTAATAATTTGGTGTTTATTATCAATTCATCATGTCTGTTAAAAGGCGTTAATAACCAGATATAATGATTCATCATAAAAACTTTATAGAATATAGGGTGACCTATATAAAGAACGCCGCTTTTGAAACATCATTTTTTGTCTCAATTATGTTGGCTACATTATTTCTTATTATTTCTATTTTGTTTTCGACCCTATAGAACCCAGAAAAATTATTTGCGAATAAAATGTCTAGTAATAGAACCTAAAATAATTTAATATATTAACGACGAAAAATATATAATTTACTCTATAATTAGAAAAACGTATTATTAAGTAAGCATTACGTTTTCAGGACATAAAAATGAAATCTGCAAGTGTTATAAATAATTATTATTTTAAATAATTCACCATAATATTAGTCTGGGAATTTATAAAATAAAATAAATAAATTTCGAGTAACCAATTTCTAATTAAAGTTTTAATAACATATTATAGTTAGCCTTGATCAAATGTGCAGCTTAGGATACTACTTTGAAATTGAAATATAACCACTTTATATTGGAATATATAAAGTGATAAGATTTCTTCAATCCAAAATAGAAAATTCGTGAAGCACTCATTTTATCCTAAAAACGATCACATTCATATTTCATATAGAAAAATCGAAACCATGATTGTAAAACCCATAACACTCGTCGTTCTCACTGAATTGAAATACATTCAACATAGTTTACACAGCAGACATCGTTTCTATTGGATTTAGACAGGTATAAAAAATATTTTTTTTCCACATTTATGTAAAAAAATTAACTTACGCGATAGTTCGCTTTCAATATTTTCTTCATTTTCTCCACCCTTCCTCCTACAAACACACACGAATGCGCGCACACACACACACACACAACCATCCAATATAATTTACGAAACTGTTTTTCGTTGATTAGAATCTTTAATATAACAAAAACTTATCCTCCTGCTAAATCACCAATTTTCTAAATGGAACTTAACAGACTGTCCTTATAATATTTTACCTGTGTATTCATGGGGTGGTGTTGGGTGTGGGGGTGTAGTAACTACAAGTAGGGATGATGTTGATGGTGGTGTACGTGTGCGTGAGCACTACTTGGAAAATGCTATCTTGGCCCATTTTAGGATTGAGGCATGTGTTAAAAACAACAAATACGTCGTTGTAACCTCTACACTATCAAATTAATTAATTTATCCTCTTGGCTATGACTCACGATATAGAGTAACGCTATACAATCCAACGCTTGGCGTACAAAACAACATTATTACTACACGTATTGGTATTAGAAAATGCTATATTGTATTTTATGTTTCCCACAGAAGGTATACTTTATTATTTGTGCCGAGGCAAACCAATTTTCTCTTTTTACGGTTAAATATTTCTTATGGTATATATCGAATACATTTATTGTTTTCAGTCATAACATATTATGTTGTTATTACAATAGGTACCGGGTACATTTTAAAAAAAAAACACTTAAAATAATTTCCATTTTATAATACATAACGTTTTTGAATTAAATTAGTTCAAAATGAAAATCAATAAATAAAACGCATGTTTAGAATTTAATATGTCAAAACCTTTTTATTGTTGGAGGCTATATATAAACTGTTACTTACTTATGAGTAGTGTATGTAAAACTCATTAAAGTTAAGTCTGGACGATAGAATGAAGTTGGAAAATCGTATTACCTGTTGGTTTAGTCGGACTAATATACGAAAACTATTTTCACATCAAATAATAATAAAACTATGAACAGACCAAGATAGAAACTCTAAGAAAATGTGACGAATGATCATATGAAAACAGATGTTAGGAGCACAGTGTTTACGTTGACTTTAGTTAGGTACTGATGTTATCAATGTTGTTCAAGATTTTCTCGGAGAGCTAACGTTAAAATTTAAAGTTGTTGTCTGTTTATACTTTGAACATATCATCAACTAAAAAGTGAACGAATAAACAATTAAGGCATTAATGTACATAATTTAATTTGCAATACAAAATTAAATTTAAAGTTGTTAAGTTTTTCCTCAAATGTATTATATTCAGAAACAATAAGTTAATAATTAAAATAATGGTATATTATTTTCTTAATACAAAATAAAGGATAGAATTATTCCAAAGTAAAAAAATAATTTAGAATAGACACTCATAATTTGT